TCGCTGTGCCTGGGATGAAACAGCGAACAGCCCTGCACCGTTCCCTCGCAGGTCCCGTGGGGTCTCGGCGGGACCCTCTGGTTGCACCCTGGGTGTGGCGGTTCCATGGGACTTTCTTCCCTGCGCATCAAAATGTTTTGGGCTGGAATCTGACACACAGGGGCTTAGAGGGCCACGATGCTCTGCTAGGCACAATGAATGGTATGCGAGCAGCCACGGCAGACACGGGATACAGTCAAGGCAAAAGAACAAACAGTGGGGGAAGGAACATCGGGAAAACATGAGATTAACTCTGAGGCACGCAGAGTGGGGTTCTGCTGCGAACGAAGCCAGAGCTGTGGCAAGGCAGAAAGTGAGGAGCGCGGAGAGGTTGGAAGAAAGGGAAAGGGAGCCTAGAGGGCGGGAATATGCATCCCAAGTATGAGAGAAGTTGGAAGAAATAAACGTGAGGTTGTGAGGAAGACATCTTTGCCACGAATGCGCTTTCGGAAAGAGTTGCGGGGAAGGCATGAGCGCGCGGCGTGTAGCGTAGGAAGGCACAGCAAAAAGGGACACGAGCTACGGGGACAGCACGGGGTAATGATCCAGACGCCAGAGTGAGATGTGTGGGTAACCTATGAGGAAAACAAAATTCCTGAGATGCACCAGGGTCGTGTTGTGCTGTGTGAAGGCACAGCTGGCCGTTCCTCGGGGTTCTGCGAGGAACAAGAGAAGAAGGATAAGAGGGGAAGGGGGAAACTTCGAATGAGGTCACCCTCAGAGGCGCTTCCAGTGACCTCCACACTGGGGGCCTTCTCTAGACCAACCTCCCCTTCCTTTAAACATCCACCCTTTTCAGTGCAGATCTTCTCACAGACCTCCAGCCGTCCCGTCTTTCCAGATCGACTGCAGAAAAGCTCATAACCCCTCTGAGATCCCACATACCCAGATGCGCCCCGCTCTCCCTCCACAACCAGCCCACCCTTCGGCCTCCAGGGCCACAGCGCTTCCTCCGAATGACCCGAGCGCCCCCGAACGGCTCCCCTCGCCGCACAAGCCCCACCGGCGCCTTGCTCGGCCCCCCTTGCGGGGATCCCGGGTCCCTCCCGCGGGATGCATGCGAGCGCCCCGCGAGCGGCCCTGCTCGCTGCTCGGGGCGGCTGCTGGCAATCCCCGAGCCGCCGACGCCAAGCCAGGGGTGTGCTCGGGAGCTGCGCGCTCGGGCCGGGCCGGGCCGGCCGCGTGGGGCTCCGGCCCCTCCGCAAGGGGTGCCGGACGCGCCAGAGCAGCGCGGCCCCGGCTCCCCGGGGCGCCACCGCCTCTCCCCCCCCGGGATCGCAGGGCCGGCCCCGATCCGCAGGCGCCTCCCGGAGAAAAGCGGGCGGGCGGAGGGCGGAAGAGCGAGAAACTTTGCTCGCGCGGGACTGGGCTGGGCTGGGCTGGGCTGGGGATGCGGGCAGGGGCTCCGCTGCCCTTTTCCGGGGCCGGCGCGAACGGGCTGCGGAGCGAACTTGACCCCTGGCGCCCCAACGCTCGCCCCTTCCGGGGGCCAAAGCGCGCAGCCGGCCGGGGCGCGCGCGCGGCGGCGGCGGGCGAGTCCCCCCTCCCGGGGCATCGCGCCCCCCCGGGGGCCCCCCACCCCTCGGCCTCCCGCCGTCGGGAAGCAGCCCGCCGGGCCTCGCCCGCGCGCGGGGGCGGAGGGGACCCCGCCGGGCGCCTACCTGCGTGTCGGGGGCGCGGCGGCGGGCGTCTGGCTGCGGCGGCAGCCCAAGATGGAGTCTTCTCGCGCCGCCATTCATGCTCGCAGCCTGCTTGGCACGGGGCGCCTCTCCCTCCGCGCTCGCTCCTTCAGCCCCGCCGCGCCGCGCTCTCTGCCGCCGCCGCCGCCGCCGGAGCCGCCGCCGCTGTTGCCGCCGCCGCCGCCGCCCCCTCTGACATCATCGCTCGCGGCTCCGGGCCGGAGCGGAGCGGCTCAGCCTCGCCACGCGCAGCTGCGCCCCAGGACGCGCCGCTGCCCCAGCGCCGCCGCCGCTCCGGAGCAGCTGCTGCGCCACTCGCACCGCCCCGGGTTAGGAGCGCGCGCACCGGCGCGGCGGCATTCACACGAGCGCGTCCGGCCGGGGCCACGGAAGCGCGCGCGCATCGCGCGTTGCTCCTGCCCGCCCGGTGTCACGGCTCGCCTGGCCGCGCGAAGGAAACGCCGAGGGGTGGCTGCCCCGCGTCGGGCAGGGGCCTCGCCTCGTGACAGCCACGCACCCCGCCTCCGCTGAGGTTACTGAGCCTTCCTTGCCGAACGGAAAGCGGGGCGGGGGGGCAGGATTGGCGTGGAAAGCGCGGTCGCCGGGCAGTCGCTGGACGTGGCCGGCCAAGGCCCCGGGCCAAGCATTCCACGGGCGACCTCCCGTCCACCGGGAGGAGCGATCCACTGAATTGAATGGGGCTCACCGATGAGCAGACATGAGCGGGACTGCATTGTACACGCCCTGGAGACTTGGGATCCTAAGTCTCAAGCCTCTGATGCTTTTGAACTCCTTTTCCGTATCCCAGATGTGGCTTGAGGCAGCCAGAGAGATGCAGCAGTGCCCTGAAAAGCACTCTGCACATGTTCAAGGGAGTATGGCAATAACACATCCCAGGTCAAGCAGCAGATTCTGGGCTTGCTACTGGCAGCGTATTAAGCTGTAGCTGCAACCTTCAAAGCAAATGAGAAATTGATCGCACTGCTCTCAGCCTAACGGAAAGAACAGCAAGAAAACTGTAGGGACACGGATGGCACAGCTAAGAGCAGCCTCCCCCCCAGCCAGCCACCAGGGAAGGGGGGTGAAGCTCGGCAGCGGCGAGGCTGTGATCGTGGGGCACGCAGGCACGCTTGGCTCCTGAGCCAGGCTTGCTTGCGGGGCTGACTCTGCTGGGAAAGGGCAGAGGAACCCCAGCCCGAGAGCCCCCCTCACTGGATTTACGCCAAAACATGAGCTTGCACATTTAGCCAGATTTCCTGCAGCTGGTGTGTAACAGGTAGGGGCCATCTTGCCTCACACGCAGCTGCGGGGGGGGGGGGCAGGGGGGAAGCCGCTTTTGGCTGGAAGAGCAGCTGCCAAGTGGTTTCTGGGGGGGCCGGGGGATTCGCAGCGCCGGCGCGGCTTTGAAAGGACCGGCGCTGCCCTACCTACCTGCTTGCTTGCTTGCTTGCTTGCTTGCTTCCGGGCACCCCCGGGTGCTTGCTCAGCCTCCACACTTGTAAATAAACAGATTACTACAAGGGCACTGCAGCACTGCAACCACGAAACATTTCGTTTTATGGATGTCATTTTACAAACTGTTCCTTAACCACCTTGAGCCTGGAGGAACGGGGCAGGCTAGGCTTCCAGTTCAGGCTCAAAAACTATTCATTTTTGTGACATGAGGCAAAGAAAGTCCCCAGCGAAGGAGGCGTGCGGTCGTGGCATTTTGAGGAGCAGTGACCTCTCCAGATCGCCACACCGCACGTCCCGTTAACCCCACCCCAAAGCAGACTGCCCCAACCTGCCGCCCTCCAGCTCTGAGCAGCCCCCCGGCCAGTTTCCCAGAGTGATGTCACAGAGATTCATGCATACAGGATGACATCAGAATTTCTCCCGGGCGAGGAGCTAGCCTGGGTGTTGAGGTGTTTGAAGAGTGGCAGGAGAGCCAAGCGAGGAGTTTTGAGGTGGGTGCTTCTCCAATCATTAACCCCCCTCCCCAGAGAGACCCCAGGTGTTCCAGGACTCCACCCTCGCTGGCCTCCCATAGCCTAACCCGCCAGGGCGCTCGCTCCTTCCAGAACCAGGGCATAGAACACAGACGGGCCGACATCAACAAACCCCAGATAAAGGGGGCTCGGCGCACGTGCTCAGCTCACATGCGTGTGCACACATGTGAAGGAGAGCGTGAGGGAACGTGCTGACCTGCATCCAAGAGCAGCTTAGGGACCTACGCAGGGCCTGAAGCTAACGTCCCTTACGAGAAAACCCCAGGCATGTGGGAACACACCGGAGTGGACACAGGCAAACCGGATTCCTCCACTAGAAGCCACAGTTCCCCCGTCTGTAACAGGGTCTTAAGAACTGGAAGGCACATTTCAACAAGTAGTACAGGATATGTAACTTCCGTAGAAATAATACAACATACACGAAGGAGCAAAATGGAAGCGAGAAAGGCAGGCAGTGGAGGAGCAGCTTGCACAGGAAAAAGGGCACTGGTTGGGGGCCGATGGATGCAGGGCAGAGGCATAAATAAACGGGCAAGTTGCATGGCCCCAACACATGCAGGCAGCATCGGTTACTTTGCTTTCTCGTGGTAATTCCATAGAAGAAGCCGCAGTCCTGCGTTTATGAGAGCTGGGCAGGGCTCTCAAGAACAGGAAGTTCTGAAGGGCACTCGTTTATTCATGGCGCGCCCTAAGTCAAAGATGACTTGATGGCACACATAAGAACCTATTAAGTTTCTAGTCCTTAAGGTACCAAGACAGTCTCGAAAGGATATGGCTACAGAGATGGTACAGAAAAGCAAGCGGAAATGGACTTCCTGGCTGGGGGTTAGGTCTAAGTGCTCAGTATAGCTCTTTACTTCTGCCACTGCCTAGAAAAAGCAATATAAAAATCAGCCAACACACGCCGTTCCTTCATATGTACGGTTGACACAGCTCCCGCGTTCAACTTCTGTTGGTGCAGAATGCCGATTTATTTATTTAGAGCAGAGCGTCTTCGGCACCACCATTTCCACAGCATGACTCACGCACTGCATTTCCAGTGTGTTGAGCTTCACAGCAAAGCTCCCAGGTAAGTTACTTTTATTCCCCTTTTAGAAACGGGGAGGCCGAGAGCCGCCACGGAGGCTGCACGCCATTTGCCCAAGGCCACAGCAAAATTAGGGTCAGAGGTGTGAAATGAGTGTAGGTTCTCTAATCAGCTTTTATGTACTTGCAAAGGCAGCCAGACGAATGTCTCCCTTGCAGCCTGTTTATCTCCTCCGCTCTCTCTCACAGGCTGTGACGCAACCACCCTGCTTGCGTCAGACCGATGCACACGGCCCCCAAGAAGCCCCCGATGCACACGGCCCCCAAGAAGCCCCCGATGGCACCCAGCCCTCCCGGCAAAGCAGCTCGGACCCTGGCAGACCTCTTGCGCTTCTCCCCCCCCTGCTCTCCGCCGCCCCCCCGCCGCCCAGCCTGGAGCCGCTACCGCCTCTCGGAAAGCATGAAGGGGCTGCTGGTAGCTCTCCTGGGGGGCGGCGTGCCCGCCGGCTTCGTCGCCCCCTTCACGCGGATGGCCAACGAGGCCTCAGGCATCCCCTCCCTGGAGATCCTCCTCTTCCGGTGTGTCCTGCACCTGCTCTTCGCCTGCTACCTGCGCTGCCAGAAAGCGCCCTGCTTCGGGCCCCCCGAGGCTCGCCAGCGCACCCTGCTCCACGCCTCCATCAACGTCATCTCCATCGGCTGCGCCTACAGCTCGTTCATGGTGGTCCCGAGCGGCAACGCCGCCACGGTGCGGAAGGGCTCCTCCACCATCTGCTCGGTCTTGCTGGCGCTGTGCATAGAGAACGGCCAGCTGACTGGTTACGACTGGTTCGGGCTGGTGGGCAGCACCCTGGGCCTGACCATCATGGTGGTGCCGGACTTGCTGAACCTGGACAAGAGCACCCAACTCTATGACACTTTCGGGTACGTCCTGGCCTGCCTGGGAGGGATGGCCCTGGCCTTGGGGCTGGTCATCTTCAGAACGCTGGCCTTCCCAGCCAAGCTGGTGACGGTCGCCTTCCTGTTCGGGGTGGTGGGCAGCCTGGTGTGCTCTCCGGCCATGTTCCTCCTGCAGGACCCGGTGATGCCGTTGGACCCCTTGACCTGGACGTGCGTGGTAGCCATCAGCTGCCTCGCCTTGGTCTCCTTCCTGTGCGCCAGCTACGCTGTGACTAAAGCTCATCCCGCCTTGGTGTGTGCTGTGCTGCACTCCGAGGTGGTGGTGACCCTGGCCGTGCAATACTACGTTCTGCGTGAAGCTGTCACGCACTTCGACATCATGGGGGCGGGCGTGATCCTCGGAAGCATCGCCATTATCACCGCCCAAAATATCAGCTGCGATGCGGCTGAAGACGACGACGAAGTGATCAAAGGGATCCAATAGCCGAGAGGTGGCGTGACCCCGAAACGTGCAGGTTCAGCTCAAGGGCTGCAAGCAGGTGATGTCCGAGCGACCATCTGCCATCTGTGGGGGGGGGGGGGGCGGCAGCTTGCGAAGCCCTCCCCAGATGCTATTACCTGGGGCTGGTAGACGCAAGGGGCGGGGCAGAACTCCAGCAACATGGAAGGTGGAGACAGCCCTCAGGTTATCTGTGTGAAGTCCCGAATCCAGCCAGAATTTCAATTAGTTCCCCCTTCATAGGCATTCCTAGATGAGAAGCTGCTCCTGGGAAACCTACAGGACGTGGGTCATGGATTTGGGAGGGACTAAGGAAACCCCTAGCCAGGGATTTGGAGGCCCACGGGCCAAGCTGATGACAAACATCCGTCTATCTCTGAAAGATGCAGGAGAAAGACCTCCCTGTCATCCATCTACAGAAATCCCGAGGAAAATGCTTCCGGGCCCTTTCGACACCACATGCCTGATGGTGGAGAAGAACCATCCTCCTCCTCCGAACCAGCTGCAACACAAAGGCAGGAAATAGGACATCTGTGTCGCACATATCAACCTTCTCGAAGTGGAAGATAACTGTGTTAAGATCTGCTGATGGAAGGGTTTTTGGCAGAGGAAAATCAGGAGGCAAAAGAAGGACGGCTGGTTATCCCTGCATGGACAGGGGTGCCGCTTCTGCTCGGCCCTCCCTGAAGAGAAACTAGGAGATGGTGACCTTCACCTTCCTGCAGTGTTTTTTTGCCCCTGGGGGGATGAACAGGGGCATCTACCAGGGAGACCCAACAGAGCTGAGTCAAAGAAAGCAGGTGGGGGCCACAAACAGAGCAAGACTCAGGTATTGTTCTCAACAAGCATTGTTTCCAAATTCTCAAGAAGCTGACTGCCCCTAGCAATGTGGACACAGTAAGAGCAGTCCTGCTCTGCTCATGAGACCTTCGAAATGCTGCAGGAAGCAAAGCTGCAGTACGGATTTAGAAAATATTACGGCACCGAAGGACATTTTCATAATTTCCATCTTTCTTGCGCCTAGCTGGGGTTTCATTTTCCAATGCTTCTATTGTTTCTTAAAGCCAAGAAAGTTAAAAGCATGCATACCAGGTAATAGATACCCATCTCCAAAGCTGCCACCCTTGAAATGAGGGGGGTGGGTGGTAAAAGATAAGCACTTTTTTGTGTTTCGGCTCCAGCTGCAAAATACCCCTCCCCACAAACCTAGCAAGTTAACTAGCTGACGGATGGACATTTTCAGAGAACAGCTACGAGGCCATGGAAAAGAAAGCTAAGAAAGGAATTAGATCCCTTACCTGAATCTTGGAGAAAATGTATTTAAGAGCTATGCGTATGTAGTGTGAATTCAATTTGTGGAGGTGGCATAGGCTAAACGGTAAAAGAACTAAAAAAACAGGTTGCAAGCCATCCTGAGCTGCCAGAAACGGAAAAGGTTATAACTAACATGTAATAGGCATGCCAGGAATTAGGGTCAGGTAACGAGCTCGCCTCCCTGGGTTTCAGAGCTCCTCTGAAAAACTGGCAAGGCACCAGGTGGGGAACCAGAGGCACATGGACAAGACAGGACAGCTCAGCTTAATGAAGAGCCCATTCTGGTGGAGCAGGGGAACTGGTTCTGGGGGATTGGCCCAGTTTAGAAACTGGTATTCAAGTCCCGATTACCCTGCAAGTGGGGAGAGAACTCTTCCAGCCTGTCGTGGCTGCTGGTTGAATAATTCTTCAGAAAGATCTTATCGGACAGATTCTTTTTAAAGGTACAGGGAAGGGAGGAGTCCCTCAGGATCCCCATCGCAGTACTGGTTTCGAGTAGTAAGAATATAAACTGCTGAAGGAAGGTATCTTTGGGCCTCGGGCCTGCATATGAGGGATGGGCCAGCTGCAAGATATCGGGGATCTTCCCAAAGACCCAAAGCCCACACGGGACTTTAGATCAATGGTAGGGCACACGCGTTAACCGGGTTCAATCTTGGTATTTCCAGCTTGCCCTGGAATTGTTCATGATGAAATCCCAGAGAGCCACTGCCTGTTAGCAGAAGCAGAGAATGCTAGAGGGCAGGGTATGGGTTTGCCTCAGTGTAAGACGGCGTCTTTAATTCTTTTTGTGTTTCATGTTTCCAAAGCAAGACACCAAATGCAGGTTCCGAAAAGCTCTGCAAGGGCATTGAAAGCCTGCCTTCTTGGGTTGAGGATACAGCAATGGCCATGCTGCACCAAACTGGGACTGCAGATGTTCTGCAGGAATCCCGGTCACCAGCATGTAGGATTTAGGGCAGCAGAAAACGGGCAGACTGGAGCGTTGGGTTCCACCAACCCCAGGCATGGTCGAGGGACACTCCCCGTGCAAGGCCAAACTGCATGTCTTATCTCAGAGCAGGGTCTGCACCCAGGCGGCCGGCTTGCACCACGGCACTGCACAATAGGAAATGCCAGAAGCACAATAGGAAATGCCAGAAGGTTCCTTTAAGAGCGACTGCAAGCCCTGCCTTCGCTCTGTTTTTAAGGCTGATTCTTAGGCAAGAGCCAAGGCAGCTCTGCTTTGCACAGCGGAAGCTGCGTGCAAAGGATCTGGCCGTGCCTTGCCGCCATTCTGCCCTCTGGCGGCTCGCAGGCTGCAGAACTTACCCGGCAGGAAGGCTCCTTGCGTGCACAGCCAACGCAGCGGCCCAGAAAGTTCACAGCACACACGTTTCCGCCTCTTGCCTTTGGTGTCCTGCAAAGCTTTCAGTTCTGAAGCTGTGGGCGGAGTGTGGTATGTTCAGGCCGACGACGTTCCCTTGAGTCCTCCTCGTGCCGCCTTCCGATCACGCTCCGGATTGACTCCGAGGCGCTGGCCCGCTTGCAGAGCGCTTCCTCTTCCCTCGTTGCGGCTCTTTGCAGCGCTTCATGCTGCTCCAGTTAGTCTCCTCCTTCCATTCTTATCTCGCGGCCTCCTGCCATACCGCGCTCTAAGCCCGAGGAGCCCCCCCACTCCCGGCAGCTGCGCCCTGCTCCGTCCTGGGGAAAGCTTTTTCCAGCAGCGTGTTTTCTGGGCCAGCCTGGCTTCCTTTTTCCCATCCCTCCACCACTATTCAAGCTTCCACCCTGCTCCTTATTCTTCCCCTCAGTTCCCCGTGGTCTTCTAGACAAGAGCACTCTGCCAAAACTCGTGCTTCCAGCCTGGAACTTTCTCTCTCCGTCACTGGCACGGCGACCGACCGAGACAGCACCCGTCCTTTTCTGGCGATACCATGCTCTGCCCAAGGGGGTGTTGCAACTTGGGACTGCAGGCCAAATCCAGACCCACGCTTTTCCCGCTGCTCGCACGGCTCCCCTCACCCCATTCTGAAGCTTGAAATGCCCCGAGTCTTTGCAGGAAGAGTATATACTGAAACGGCAGTATCTGGGCCTTACCCGCTTCTGCCTTTGATGTCACCTGCCATGGGGCCGTGGTCCTCAGAAACGCCACCAAAACTGAATCTGCCTTTCCAGTTGAGAATTGCAGCAGCAGCCCTTACTTAGAGGCACCAAGATGATGCCTGGGGTGTCCTTACGCTCACGGCGCCCTCCGGCAGGAGAGCGTGGTGCCAGTACGGCCTTCCTGGGCAGGAGGCCTGTCCATGCACTGCCCTGCCCTAGCTGGGGGACTGCAAGCCACATCCAGCAGCCACTCAGGAGGCCGTCTGCGCAAAATGCAGCAGCTCGACTGCCCACCGGGAAGCTGCACCTGTGGGGTGTCTCTCGCCAGACTCGGCGTGACGGCACCGGCCCGCTTGCGTGTGCGGGAAAGGCCAAGCGCTGTGTGACTCTAGCCGGATACTCCTGCCCCTTCTGGAGCTTCCTCCTCATATCCCCAGGACACCTCAGACACAGATCCTCAGACACCAAAAACAGGGAATGCTCTCTCCTGAAGGTTGCCAGGTGCTATCCAGTTATCCTTCTGGATGACCTTTTTATTCAAATGACCATTTTAATCTGCTTTCATGGCAACATCTAAAGTAAATAAACTGCTCTCCAGTTAGATAATCTCTTGTTATTCCTGCCAAGAGAGTCCAGAGCCTGAGGCCCGAGAAAATCAATCCCAGTGATGGGCCAGGAGTCCCAGGGCTGGACAGAGTTGGTTAAAAGTACTCCAAGGACAAGGTCTGGTCTCCAAGGAGCCAACCAGCCAGCAACAGCCCCACATCAGAGATCTGCATATTCACAACAAACCTCCTTCCTCCCCAGAGTACAAGTTCTCTTGTTCTAGGCCCTTAAAACAGAGGGATTTCTTCAGCTGTGACATGCACGGCGTCCCCCTTGTAGCCCCTTCAGAACTCTGTATCCAAAAGGTGCTCGGAGTACTCCTCGGTGATCCTTACGTTCGTCCTGCGAGGCGGGCCAGTGCTACCCCTGTGGCGTGACAGAGCCGGAGTGCAGCAGCTCTTCTGGCCCGAGCGCCAAACACAATTTCAGACCGGTTCTCAGGAGTGATATCCCAGCAGTAGGTGGGCCGAAGGGGCGAGGCCAAATTATTTAAAAATGTCAGCACACACATCTATGCCGGTAACTATTCCTCCCTCCACCTCCACCTTTTAGAATGGAGGAAGAAAAAACTGCTCAAAAACCACTGAGCGGCTGGTGGTTGGGGAAGCACTGTGTGGCTTACCATGAACCCCAGGAGGGCAGGATGTGGCCCCCAGGCCTGAGGCATTCCAGCTCTAGTCTAAGGGCACTGGCAACAGGAACTGAACCAAGGACTTCCCAGCTTCTGCCGCAGCGAAGCGCTTCAGCTCTCTGCCTGAAGGATCCCCTCGGAGCCCCCTGCAAAGCAGGGGTCCCCCCATCTTCCACTGCTTGAGAGCTGGCGCACCAGCCTATACAGGCCTTGAGAAAGAACATTAATGCGCCACAAATCTTTTGTGGTTTTTCCAGTTTTAAGAGACAATTCCTGGCAGGTTGCACAGTGCAAACAGTCCCCCTTTTACCAGCTGAGCTGACCACAAGTGCTGATATTTCTAAATTCCAAAGTCATGACTCAGCAGCTCCGATCTGGAAAACAACAAAACACAGAACCAAAGCTTTCTAATTGCCTTCCATTTTCCCCAGTCCTTTTCAAATTACGCACACAGTCTCTGAGTGTGTTCCCTCATGAGGACTAGAAACCTCAAAGCCCTCTTAGTAACAGCCACCCAAGCAGTCGACACTTTGAAGAACAAGCAAACACCCAGCCCTTGGAGCAAAAACACTGCAAGAGAATCGAGCCAATGTAGAAAGACCATTTATTCACAACATTTGATTACAAGACTGATTTCAACATAAGGGGACACAGGCAAGCAGGAAGAATGGGGAATGGGCTTTGCCACTGCAGGAGCCCAGGAAAGAGGCTCTTGTGCTCTGCTCCTCAGTAGCTAATTAATATGCAAATGTAATCAGAGGCACTTTAAGGCATCAAACCAGATGGCATTGGTATTTATGAGCATAAATCAGACATGCTCTCCAGGAGAATAGAAGACTTCACGCAACAAAACTTGCTGAACGGGGGAAATCGCGGGTGGGCAGGGTTGTGATCTTTTAGAGGCCTTGTGTGACCCTGTAATTCTGTGGCCAAAGACAGGAAACAGGGCATAATCTAAAGAGTCCTTTGACAGCTTTCTTTTTAAGGAGCAACTGGTTAGACCAGGGAACGAGAAATCGACTTCCAGTTTTATGACTTCACCGTTTCTTTTCTCTGGAGCTTATCCCTGCCACCATCCGCATCACATCCACACATCAGGCCAGGCAGAATGGTTTTTTGCATTATGCTTAACCCCACATTTACCCTCCCGCATGCTAAAACGGCTGGTGAAATCTGCGCCCCCCCCCCCCAATGTAGTGTCTCGACAGGCACCAGATCCAATGCCAGCCAGGAGGCCAACACAGCAGCCCCGGGTGAGGGCGAAACCTGCCTGCCCGCAGCGCTCGGGGTGAGCGAGGAGGGAGACGCAGCCCCCATTTGTCTGAGGCAGGTCCAAGGCCTCGCAGCCATTTCCAGCATTAGAGCTGCTGGCTCCGATCCCAGTCTGGATGGGAAGGCCGAAAAAACACCGCGTGGATGCGAACTGGTGCGCTGGCGCCATCTAGTGGCAAGCGCAAGAATGTGCATCCGGCAGCAGGGCGCGCAGGCGGGCGGCTTGAGCTGCCACCAGCACCCCGAAGACCCACAGGGCTCTGTGCGTTTTTGTACTTTCTGCACTCCCACAAAAGGCTCCAACTTTCCCAGGGGCACAGGCAGGCTTCTCCCCCCGGATCAAGGCCAGGAAAGGGTTCTGACCACATGTCCAGCCCCAGCCAGTCCCTACTCTACAACAGTTGTCAGACCTTTGCAAGCCCCCCACCCATCCAAGGAGAGCTCAGCCCCTCTTCCTGCGCCAAGGCTTCCAACTCTCCCTTGACCACCACCCACCCCTCTCCATTTCTAAGCCACTCTGCCGTCTCTCAGAGTGAGCTTATTTCAACCCCTTTCCATCTTTTTCCTACCTTGAACAACACACGCAGGATCACCTAAGGCAGGGTGGCAAAAGTAACGTAGAAACAGAGCGCGTCAGAAGGGGCCTCCCGGGCCATCTAGCCTGACCCCCAGCTTCAGCCGGTTCCGCTCACGACATGCCCACCAGAAAGTCAAGCTATTTCTGGCAGCCCATTGGACATTCGGGCCCACATCTGCCCTAACAGCACGGCCTGGGCTTTCCCTGGAGAGAACATGCAAGAGACCCCCAGGGAACCTGCAATGACACGAACCCGCGTGGTGCAGTGGCTAGCGGACAGGAATTCAGGAGGCCTGGGTTCCAGCCCCCACTCAGCCACAAAGCTCACCGGGGGACTTTGGGTCAGTCACACCTGCCTCTCAGCCTAACCGGTGTCACAGGGTGGTTGTCACGAAGGCAAGACGGGGTAACCCTGCAACGCTGCTTTGGGCTCCTTGCAAGAGGAAGACATGTAACACGGTAGTAATAAATAGCAATAAATGAGATACAAGGGGGATTCTTTTGCAAGGGAACCTCCAAGGTTCTATGACCCCTCAACGGAAGAGGGGGGTAACCCTCTGTCCTTCAAGAAAGAATCCTAATAAGAAAGCCTGGGGCTTGGAGCATTTGCCTTGGGCAAGGGGTCCGGGTTCCAGTCCCACTGGAACTCACTGGGTGATTCTGGGCCAGCCACTGACTGGCCGCCTAACCTGCCTCACAGGGTTGTTGCCAAGATAAAATGGAGATGAATGGGACAGCACTATGATTTATAATCAATGAATAACAAGTACGAAATCAAGGAAGGGCAGTCATTCCGTATTAACAAAACTCAAGGGTGCAAGTGGGTGGTATGTACTTTTGGGGGATTTTCTGGATTTGCCTGTTGCACCAACAGCAGTCTTATAGCACCTTCTTAAAGTGGGAGGTGTTACCAACATCTTCCCGCATTCTATGCTCTGTACAACCTACCGCTCCCCTCCCTCCTTTCTAATCCTACACTTGTATCCAACTCACATCCTTCAACAGGAATCCTGGCAAATTCCATTTTTTTGGATATCAGCCCCCATAAACCCCAGCCAATGGTCCAGGGTTCTGAGAATTCTGGTGACTAACTGAGAGCTGGTGAGGTGGTTAAGAGGGCAGGTCTGGGACTTGGGCAACCTGGGTTCGAGTCCATGCTCAGCCACGGAGCCCACTGCGTGACTTCGAGCCAGTCACAGATTCTCAGCCCAACCTACCTCACAGAGTTATTACCATGGGGATAAGACAGGGAGCAGAGGATGTGAATTATGCAAGCCACTCTGATTCTTAAAAAGAAAAAGGCAGGATATAAATCTAATAAACCTCAGTGGGGCACAAGTGGTTCCTTGTACATCCACCCAAAACTGACACTGGAGAACATAAATATTTTCTCAGTTCAAGACAGAGCTTAGCACTGCTTCAGGGGCTTCACTCAGGAGCCAGGTTAACTGGAGAAACACTTGCTCCCATACTGATCTGGCTGGACAGGTGCCACCTTCAGAGGAACTCCTCTACAGATCTGGCCCATCTTTCAATAGAGCAGGAATCAACCGGAAGAGCTAGCACTCTCAGTGATGGTGCCTTTGTCAAAATCCTACCCCAATGAAGCTCACTTGGCACCAACACTGTTATCCTCCTGGTATCAAGCAAGAGAGATGTTGCTAGTCTCGCAAGCTTTAAAATACATCTTTCTTTCTGGTGTTTTATTTCATATGGTTATTTTACTTGCCCTTAGAGGCCTTCAAAATTCCTGTGCTCTGCTAGGCTCAAGCGAGCAATGCAGGAATGGCAGAGACCTCCCCAACCTCTGTCTTTGAAGAGAGTAGTCAGCAAAATTATATCCACAGGAAGGTGGATCTGATTCCCTGAAGAACTTCAGAAGTCTTCAGGAGTATCTCAGGGTTTTTCTGAGATACTCTCAGGGACTGTAGGATTGCTCTCTAAATAAATTTGATGCTATTTCTAAAAATTTTGCTAGTTTCTCTCAGCTCTCTTACCTCTAAAGTCATATGATGCTTGAATCCCTTTCTCTTTTGAACATACAGCACCTTTTGTCATCCAAATTTTCCTTATTCAGCCAGTTTTCCAGAACAATCCTCCCCACCACTTACTTCCAAAGGAACTTCAGGTACACAGGATGCAGGGTCAGACCCTTTGTTCACCCAGCCTAGTGTTGTTGACACTGATTGGTGATCTTCTGATTTCCAGGAAATACTTTCCTGCCCTCCCTACCTGGAGATGCACCCAAGAAATGACCTGGTATGCTCTGCACAGACAGCTTGTGCCATACCAAGCTGACCTGGCCTTTATTAGGTAACATAAAGCCCCCGACCCCACTGATTTCAACACATTCCAGATACAGTTTTTGTGTGTTGTATTGTTTTTATTCCTCTCTCCTGGTTTTATTATGGTTTTGCTGTGCTTGTTTTATCATACTTCAACATTCTGGATTTTAGATTTCTGACTGACTCATACACTGCCCAGAGTTGGTTGATCTAAACGTTTAAAATAAAGAAACAAATCGCTTTACTTAACTCACGGACCCCTGTACTTAACCTCATGGAGTCTAGAGCTTAAGAGTGATTTCGGTTTCCGGTCAGAAATGAGCCTTTTTCATTTGCCTGGGCACTCCCTTCTGAACTATTCCCCCACCACAAAACCCTGGATTCCCATATAACTTGAGTACAAAATCCAGTTTCCCTTTTACTACTTCCTACCCTCCTGTCTCTCCGACCCCAAACCGTTTTGTCGTCTTAAAAGAACAATTCTAAGCACGTTTAGAACAAGGAAAACTCCCTCCACTGACAGCATTCCCCAGGCAGCAAGGCTGTGAGCTGGAGGCTTTTTTTCTGTCTAAATGTGCACAGGATTGTTCCCTAAGAAACTCAGACATATCTTTAGACCTCAACATTTCTCAAGGACCCCCCCCCCGCCTCGCTCGTACCCGCTCCTTTCGGGAGCCTGTAACTCCTTCCTGTCTCCAACTCACCTATATCCTTTGCCTTATCTCAAACTATCAGGTCGCAGATATTTATTTCCTTTCAGCACAAACAACTCAACCCCCAAGCCTCGCCCCCCCAAAGGGATCCTCTGCATTATCCCTCCAGACGCACTAAGCCGCCCTTTTCTCTCATTTCTTCCGCCAACCAACACCAGCTCGTCTATTAGCACCAAGGCCTTGAAATTCAGCTACCAAGCTCCCTCGCCACACCAAAAGCACCCCCAAACAGCCTATAACTGCACCCCCACCCCTAATTCCATGAACTCCCCACTTCAAACATGGCTCCCGAGAGCGGCCATCCTTAGCCTAAGCCAGACAAACCGTTCTTTACAAGCCCCTCCACATAACTCCCCTAAATTCTAGCCCTCCGTACCCCCAAGGCTGCTCTAGGTGCCTTCCGACTCAGATCCGGAAGTAGGCCCCGAAGCCGCGTGTTTTCCTAGACGGAGCGGCCGGGCAGCCTCCGCCATCCTTCGGCCAACTGAAACACGCGAGACCGAGGGTTCGAAGGCCGCTCCCCGGAGCGTTCCATCCGCCTCGTCTTCGCTCTCGACAAAAGCTGGCTCTGAGAGTTGCCCTGCTCTCCGCCCTCGGCTCCCTTCGGCTTTTTCCGGCAAGCTTCGGAACATAACCACACCCCTCGCTTTGGTGACGGCTTTATTTCCCCGCCTCGCTCAGCTTATGAATAATCAATAAGGCACGTAGAATATTTCACGAAACTGGCCGGAGCCTGTGACGAGGTTCCGCCTTCTTGCGGACCGCACCATTAGTAAAAAAAGGACGGGAAAGCGAAGAGTCCTCAAGATTATGCTTGCTGGAGAAGGCTGGGAATTCCAGGACTGTTTTTCTTTCTAACTACGCGTAGGATCGTGCCCAATACGTTTATGTGGGCAAAAGAGCCACTAAAATCAGTAGCAGTGGCGTCCAATCAAGTATGTTAGAGTCAATGGTATCATTCTGCAGAAAATGCAAATCCTATTTGAAATTTGATCGCTAAATGTTAGGGCGCAATCCTATGCATGCTTGAACAAGAAAAAAGCCCCGTGTTGGCTGGAACACTAGGAGCTGCAGAACCTTTTTCCGTCTAAAACTACATAGGATTATGCTGCAGGAGTTCAGTTTGTTTCGTGATTCTTTTCCGGTTGGCTTAATAAAGGTATTACTTTTATTAGGTCTGGGAATCCTAAATGTATTTACTTAGGTATAAACAACATCGAACTCGGCAATACTTACAAAAAAACATGCTTATGAAAAGACAGCAACTTCAAAAGGTAAGAATAAAAAAAGCCGACAATGCTATAGCAGTAAACTTAACATTCAAAAGAGAGATACTGCTCCTACAGTTTATTCTGTTCTCTCTCCCCCCCCGTCCCAAAGTTGGTTTATTCCTCGCCCCATCTCCGGGACCGCCCCCTCCCCTTTGCCACCTTACTAGAGCCACGCCCCCTCCCTCTCGCCTTTCCCTGGAAGAGTACGCAGCCGCAGCACCACCCCTCTTTGCCGCGTCGCCCGTGCAGTTCTGCTCCTGTAGCCCCGTGGAGGAGGGCGAGTCTATATAAGACGGCGCCTGAGCGCCTGCGAGCTCAGTCGCGCTGAAGAGCGCGGAGGGAGAGGATAGGAGGGAGGGGAGAGGCGGCCGGACGTGGTCGCGGGAGAGCGCGAGAACGCGGGAGGAGGCGCTGCGGACGGCGGCGACCGCCCCTCTTCTACGGAAGGAGCTGCGCGAGGCGAGCGCGCCCCGCGGCCGGCGGCGAGCTCGGTCGGCGACTGCCTGGGCCGCGGTTAAAACCGGAGTAGTAGTAGTGGGGGGAGGGGCGGAGGCGGCTGCTGCTTCCTGGCTGGTGACTTGACTGACTGAGGCGGAGGCAGGGCAGCGGCTGCGTCACGTGACCCCCAAAGGCGGAGAGCGAGCGAGAGCGCGCGCGCGCCGAGATGCACGGGGGAGCGCCCTCCGGGGACAGCGCGTGCCCGCTGCGCACCATCAAGCGCGTGCAGTTTGGCATCCTCAGCCCGGATGAGATGGTGGGTGGCGCAGGTCTGCAGGGGGGGCGTGAGCGGGGAACCACGAAGAAGGCTTTGTGCATTGCATTGTGTCTCCGGGACGTGCAGTGCCCGAAGACACCGCTGGCTGTGTGTGTGCATGGTCGCCTCACTTCTTCAGTGGGGGGGGCATCTGCCGCGTCTTCTGACCCCCTCCCCGTGTTTGATGCTTTGAAGCGCGGGTGGCAGTTTGCCCAACAACAAGAAATAGTTTTTTCCTCCTGCAAAGGGTGCCTGTACTGCAAACACAACTCCCCAACTTGTAATCGTGCAGCAGGCTTGACGGCTCCAGGAAGCTGTCTTGGCACTTGGGCATGTTTAATTGTTCTTTTAAAACTTTGGTAAGCTTGAGGATGTTGCGTGGATGGTCTTGGAGGGCATCGCTCCTGGAACTCTTGAGTGCAAAGCCTTTTTAATGGAATAGCCGGTGCTGAAGGATTGCCCCTTCCCGTTCCATTAAGCACAGAACTGCATGTTGAAAGGATATTAAAGATTGATTTTCTTTTGAAGTTTCCTATACAAGCCACACGGTTCCATTTCAGCTGTTCTCAGGGTGTCATATTGGCTAAAATTCCCTCACAAATCTAAATTTCAAGGATCTCCCTGATATGTCTCTCTTGCTTTCCATGTGAGCAGGAAGAGAATCTGCAAAAAGGGATCTTGTAGTTCCCAGACTTGCCTTTTTTGCCTGTAACCTTGATATTAAATTTCAGCTCTTTTCAATGAATTTGTGTTGAAAATGGCATTCCAGTTCAAGAACTCACTCCTGCCGCAAGTTTTCTCCTGGATGGCCAATATTCTTGTGATGATCTCATTTTTTTTTTTTAAGTTTATGTTCCTGATAAGTTAGTTTTAGGGGCTCATGGCGGAGGTGGCACAATTTAAGACTGACGTGGTTCTGTTCTTACTGGCTCCCCAGCCTCCCCAGGCAATAGGACATTTCTGGCCTGAGATACACCTTAGTGCCTGATCTTCTAGACTCTGACTCCCTTGTCCTTCTGGCACCGTCTTCCTCTCTTCTGAGGCCCACGTTCCTCTTGGAGCAGCTTGATGTGGTCGCTTGAGGCTGATCCTGCGCTTGCTTTTTTCTTTCTCCAGAAACGGATGTCCGTCACGGAAGGGGGCATCAAGTACCCTGAGACGACTGAAGGGGGCCGTCCCAAGCTGGGGGGGCTTAATGGACCCTCGGCAGGGCGTCATCGAACGGACAGGAAGATGCCAGACCTGTGCAGGTGGGTGCTGCGGCCAGGCCCTCGCTGGCGGGCGAGCTGCGAGGAAGGCGAGGGGAGGCCCCGGGCAAGCCGGTTGCAGGGCCTGGGGTGGGAGCTGCGGGCTGACCAGGCCGCCTCCGTTCTCCTCCGACAGGCAACATGACAGAGTGTCCGGGCCACTTTGGTCACATCGAGCTGGCCAAGCCGGTCTTCCACGTCGGCTTCTTGGGCAAGACGATGAAGGTCCTCCGCTGCGTTTGCTTTTTCTGCTCCAAGCTGTTGGTTGACTCTGTAAGTACCAGTAAACCTAATTTGCAGCTGTAGATGTCCAGGCAGTTAGCCAGTCTTTGCCCTGCCCACTCCAAAACCCCGAGACTTCCAGTAATACGGCACACGGTGCTCACTTGGGACCCGTCAAATGCCTTTCAGGGAAGAGCAGCGCTCTTCCAGTTGGAACAGCTTCCCTGCTTGGCTGCTTGTGCCTGTTTATCACCAGTGAGCAGCTGAGTGCCTGCTGAGGGGTCTGGAGAGAAGCTGCACAGGGACCCTTCATGCAGTTCCCAGGCGGCCTTGTTGGTCTGCATCGCAGGATGAAATTGATTTCAGGTCTCTGAGGTTGTGCAGTGCTCCTTTCCTGTAACTGTCTCTTTTTTAGGGGGTTTATTTTTTTATTTAAAACTTTTGTATTCCGTCCCCCATGCAAGGCATCTCCGGGCAGCTCACAATCAATACGTTAAAACAGTCGATAAAACCACATGTTAAAACAATTCAAGCGGTAAAGGCAATAAAAAGCGTCTGTTACATTAATACTAGTTTTTAAAATAACAGTTGAATAAAAAGGTTTTGACCTGGCGCCGAAAAGAGTACAAGCTCGGCACCAGGTGAGTCTCTCTGGGGAGCGCATTCCATAATCTGGGTGCCACCGCAGAGAAGGCCCTACTCTGAGTAGATGCCCTTTTTACCTCCTTCAGAGAGGGTTCTCGGAGCAGGGCCTCCCTCGCTGATCTTAAGGGGCGTGAGGGCATATACGGAAGGAGATGTCCCCAGTCCCAAGCTGTTCAGGGCTTTATAGGTCAAAACCAGCACCTTGAATTGGGCGCAGACTTCAACTGGGAGCCAATGGAGCTGGTAGAGGACCGACCAGGGTTATATGCGAATAACAACCAGTCCCTGTCAGCATCCTGGCCACTCTGTTCTGTACCAGGAGAAGTATCTGGACTGTTTTCAAGGGCAGTCCCACGTAGAGCGCGTTACAATAATCCAACCTGGAGGTTACCAGAGCATGAATCACCGTTGCTAGGCAGTCTGTGTCCAGGTAAGGACACAGCTGATGGACCGGCCGAAGCCGGAGGAAAGCGCTCCTCACCCCTGCTGCCTCTTCGATTTCCAGTGGCAGCTCTGGATCGGGTGACTTAAGCCATTGACAGGAAAGAGCATGAACTAAAACACCCCAAACAGTTCAGTAGCACAATATTCCCAAGAGCCTCTTAAAATCATTTCTCTGAAAACAGTTAAGAAACAGAACAAAAAGCACATTTTCGCCCAACAGTTTTGGTCTAACATGAGCAGTACGACGGAGGGAACTTCAGAGCAGGAAGGTCTTGACTGTTGGCCCCCCTGCGGCTCGTCTGTCGCTGGTCTCTCTGACTCCGGGCAGTTTCCGCATACGAGGCTGCTGATCCAGAACTGCTTTTCTCTCTGAGATGGGCAGGTGGAAGAGCCCAGAGTCCTCATTAAGGAGCTTTGTATGGACACTGTTGGAGGATTCCCTCTCGCCATAGAAAGGCCTACCCTGTCCTCAGCACCCTTGTCCCCAGGCCCAAACCCCAAAAAGCCAGGCTTGGGTCTCTTGCCCTTTAAATTGCTTGCCTCGCTTGGCATTAAAGTCTAGCTGCTTACAGTTGTGCAACAGAGCTTTAGTTAGCTGTGCTCTGACCATGGGAGTCCGCTTTCTTGGAACTAGGAAGTTTTCTTTTCCCGATGGTGAGATGGCGCAAGACCATGCGCACTGCGCTTGAACATTCTTTATCAGCCATTACTTCTGCGAGCAAGACGCAGCAATGAGCCTGCGCTTCCATTCTCTGGCAGAAAGAAACATCGGCCGTGCAGACGGGAATCCTCCTTGTTAGCTCACTGCACTTCATCATCTCTTAGCAGCTGTGTAAACAATATTACTCTCACAACCGTATATTTTAATTGTGTAGAATGCTGTACGCATGCGTTACAATGCCATAAGTTAGCGATCTGTAAAAGCTAGCCGCTTTCTTTGGTCTCGGGTTCAGAGTCTTTTTTTATGGGAATTCTGCTC